TGATAAAAGGGCCAAAAGGATCCCCTCCAAATCTGACTTCCGAAAAAGGGGAGGTAGAATTTTCTTTTTGTTTCGGTTTTCGATTAGCAGCGGGTCGAGGGCAGGGCCAAACAGTCTGTCTCCCGCAATAGGAGATGAAGCCAGCTTGCATTTGTGCTTAATGTCCACTTGCCAATGTTTTAACCATAGTAAGAGTCGTGCTGTGACATGTGAAGTAATGGCCCTGGCTGAAAACTTGACCGCATGATAAGTTGCGTCAGCTGAGAATTCAGCGGCTGCTATAAGTTTTGCAATATCTTGGTGCGCTCTAATGTTGGAATTAGGGACATGCTCCCATAAGAGATGGAGCCACCTGAGAGAAGAACGGGTAAAGAAGGAAGCAGCCATGGCCGCTCTGATGGCCCACGCATCAGACTGATGGGCCCTGCGTAGGGCTAGCTTGGCCCGTTTTTCCTCCGGCTTTAATGCCTCCAGCACTTCACTGGGAATGGAGGACGAGGATGCTAATCCCACTATAGGTTCGTCTACCTCGGGAGTATTCAACAATTTTGAGAAATCAGGGGCCAAATTAAAATATTTCCTGTCATATCCTGTGGGGGCAGGGTACATTGCTGCAGATGCCCACTGTTTCTGTACCAGGTCTGAAAACATGTCAGGAACTGGAATCACATCTGCCTCGACTACCGGTTGGTTCAAAATTAGATCTTCTGGTCCCTCTTCTGAAGGAGTTGGAGTGGTAGAAGGGGCTGACTTGTTCAGTTGTGCAATGTTTTTTGCCTTAAACAAGAGTTGTGGGTGGAATAAGCCTGTAAGTACAGGTTGATCAGGAACAAGGCCCTCCTCAGACATCCCCCTTTCTAAGGGGTCCGCTTCTGAGAGGGCCAGGTCACTGTCATGTATTGATCCTGATTCAATCTGTTCCATTTGATCAATTTGATCCACTTCTTCCACCTCCTCCTCCTCCTCCTCCTCCTCCTCCTCCTTCATCGGCCCTTGGAGGGGCGCTTTCCCCTGTAACTGTACCTGGTCATAGTGCTGCTCCGATCTGGTCAACGACCTTAGTGATGGAGAATCATAATCAGTGGTTACAGGATGTTCCCTGGTCAGACTGCGTGTTGAAGACCTGCTGCAATTTCCTGGCAGATTGCCAGCTCCATCCACGCCTTCATCCTCTCTGGAACTTCCTCTGGAAGAATGTCGTCCTGTCGAAGAGTGGCAGCCGTTGGAGTGAATGTAGCTTCAGGAGCCCTTCGCGTGGTTGTTGTTCCAGGTAACTGGGCCTGTTGACTCTGGGGAACCAAGCTGCGTCTGGATGAGAGGGAGAGATCTAGGGGAGGAGGGGGGTGGGAAGAGGTAGATGGTCCTGGACTGGGGGGGCGGAAAGTCCTGTGAGGTCCTGTGTGCCTCCCTTGCACACCTATCTATTTGCTTTTCTAAGGCTTTATGGTGCCTGTTGGCATCCTTTTCTGAAGCTTTAGAATGACCTTTTGTCTGCTTAGATTTGTGTTGAGATTTAGCTTTGACCCTTGATGTTGAGGTCTGAGAGCTACTACCACCTGCCATTTTGATTGAAAGAAATGCAGTATGCTCATTATTCAAAGCAATACTGTGGAGGTGGTTGGCACGCCCAGGGGCCTGATCCAAGAAGGGACCGGTTGCCCTGATAATATCTTATCCCCTTCTTCTTATGAGTTGTATCACAGTAATAATATTTTTCATTATTAAGATATTAATACTGAATTTATTATTATTATTATTGTTATTATTATTATTATTATTATTATTATTATTATTATTATTATTATTATTGGAGTGAATGATAATCACCAATATATATAGATATAAATATATATATCTAAATTAATAGAAAAACAGCTTGATATAGTGAATATCCAAACAGCCAAATTAAGAACGCCTGAAAAGGCCAAGATAATAAAGAGAGGCCTTCAACAGCTTCCCTGCACAGGTGGACACGGGCCTGGGTGCTCACTGTTGTGCCTCTGGGTGGGTAAAGCTGTGAGGGTTAAGCCAACAATAATGCACGGATGGCCTTGAATCTAATAAGAAAATGAGGTGTAATAATTCCTTAGGTTATCTGAAGAAAAACCTCTGATCGGGAAGGAAAACTACCTCACACAGCTCGAGTTACAAATAGCGCAGCCTTGTGGTCTTTAAAACAAAAGCAAAACAATGGCCATTACTTTTGGTGCGTGCGCGCTTCCCAGCAACAAACTCCCGCCGCGTGGAGAAATGCCTCCGACGGCTACTCCTTGTGGCTAAAAAAACGGCTGGGAAAGGGGTGGAAAGAATTAAGTTTTTATGCTTTCCACACCAAGACGGCGTTCTGAACGGAAAATTCAAACGATACGACTCGGATGAGGGCGAAAACGCCCACGCCGCTATTGCCGATGTAGAAAAAGGCAATGTGGAATCACAATGGCAGGGGGTAGAACAAGCAGTTGAGGGGGAGCTCGGAGCAATGCTGTAGCCGCCCACCACTTCGGGGTGCGAAACAGCACTGCCCGAAAATGCAAATGATTTCTGACGGCCAGCTGGAGAGAGCTAATGTCGGGAGATCATAATGTGACTTGGAGGCTAAAAGCCTGAAAAAACAAACTGGACTATTTCCAAACCTGCTGAATAATTCTCCTGTTTCGGCCAAGGAGGAACAAAAAGCACTGCCTATCCTCAACGAGGCTAAGCCAAAACTGGGGAACGCTGGGGAGGAGTCCTGTGGAGGAGGAGGAGCGTTCCACAAATTAAGCCCAGCCTAGACATGCAGAGACTGAAGCACCTCCCACTACTGGATGCTCTGAACAGCTCATGGGAGAACTACAACACAATTTACTATAAGAAATAGGGAGATGTGGCTATTCTTTATTTTGATAAAAATATCTTTTTGAAAAGATTTCATTTTTATTCTATTTGTATTAGATGCTACAAGGAAAACTTTTACAATACTGTGCACTGTGCAACCTTCATTTTCAATTTCCCAGTTTATGAGATGATAATGTGAGGCAAAACCTGCACAATCAATAATGAATAGTAGCTGTTTCAGTATGTAATATAAAAAGTACAGGAAAAAAGAACAAAGAATTGAAGGCCAGTAGCATTCCATGATTCTAATAACATCTTTTTAGTATTGTACATGAATAATCACCCAAATATTCTATAGCTTTGGCTTTTTTGCTGTGTCAATGTTGTGATTCTGAGCAGAAGACCACTTATCTAGAAAAGGGCAACATTAGAGGTAAGATGGTGGAGGAACAACTTGGTTGAAGTGAGCAAGTTCTTGCTAGATGTTTGCTTGGAGTCCCAGTTTCTACCTTGATGCCAAAGGCCTCCTAAAATACTTTTGTTTTGGGAAGTTTAACTTCATATAGAACCAAAGGCGAGAGTTTCCAGATCCCCAAACCCACAGCCACTCATCCTTGCTAGGTCTGAGCTAAAACCTATTATTTTCCATTCAGACTCCCACAGACTCCTGACACTGGGAAAGAACCTAGACAGCAACTAAGGATACAGATCCATGGAGATCCATTAATGATATCTGATTTCATACTGACTGATGATCTCATTGTGTGACTTCATGTAGATGTTAAATAAGAGCAATAGAACCTGGGGATCCACATAATGAAAGGATGTTGGGCTGCATCATTCCCCCCACCCCCAAATATGGAGTAGATATAGACATGAAGGAAGGACAGGAATCAATGTAACATTGTACCTTCTATTTTTAAGCATTGAAGTCAGTCTAGAAATATACTATGATTGATGGTAATGAAAGCCACCAAGGGATCAAAAAGAGCTTGGATGGATACACAATTTCTATCCCATTCCCACCAGAATTAATCTACAAGTGCAATTAGTTCATATGGATGCAATTACATTACCTATGCTGCCACACTTAAGGACTTAATGTAGATATTGTATATACATTGAGCATATATATATTAACTGAACAGAAGTATTAATTTTTGAATGGTTTTGCTTCATTAAGATTAGCTACCAAAACAATCGAGTTGCACATAGTAACCAAAAAATAAAGGCACTATTTTCAAATCGACCTGAAATTATACATACTTTCAAGCAAGACAAATCAATAATTGGAGGTAAAAATTCTTGATAAAATTAAAAAACATGTAACTTTGTAAGGTAGGGTATTCTTTAAATTTTATTAAGGTAGGGAAGTTCTTAAATGCTAAAGAATCTTCTGTGGCTCTTCACTATACTGTGGGACTCTAATGCTCATCAGCTCCAGCTAGAGAGTTGTAGTATTTGGAAAGCTTAAGAAATTCTTTAACTGGCTAGCTACAGGAAATGAAAACAGTTACCTTGCAAAATTCCCGTGAAGTTATTCTTATATTTTCCTCACTTACATTTTCCTCAAGGAAAATAACAGAAATGTCTCCCAAATAAAAGGTCTGTTTATGCTGAAAATCCATTTCTACCACAGGAAACAGGACAGTCTCATTCATTTATATCCAAAACTTTCATGGAAACCAAAGAAGGGAAAAATGTCAATTGTGCAATGCCCTTCATAGCAACCCTTTATAGGTTATGATTCTAGGCTCAAATAATTACATTTTCCTGTTATCTATAAGTATAAAAACACTCTTTTTCTTGTAGAAATCAATATATTAATATTAAATATTTATCAATATATTAATATATTAAATCAATATATTAATCAATTTCATCTAGCAAGTTTTAAAACAGGACTAGTGATCACAAGAAAGGAATCAAAAGGAAATTAATCAAACTGTTGTACTTTTTGCAGGGAGGTAGAAATCAGATTAATGATCCACAGAGAGAAAGTATACAGTTAAAGCTATTTATGATCATGTACTCCCTCTCTAGTTTGGGACCCTTTTTGCCTTTATCCTAGTTAAATGTTAATATACAATAAGATTGATCAATTTTCTTCCAGTTTAAATCTTTCTCATTTTTTAATTATTGTAACTAAACTGTTACAAAAAACAAAGCAGTAAATACTTTACCAGTAAGTACATAGTCGTAATGATTCACATTGTTTAATTTCAGTCCTTCATACAGTTCATGAAGTTCATTTGAATTTAATACCTGTCCCTTCCAATGATTATAACCTGAACAAAGAAAGAAAACAGAAACTTAGTGCTATTATATGGTATTTGGTTTCATGGATCTCATTTAAAGGCAACGAAGTGGAAATGAAAGTAACAATGGCCACTCAGAAATACATAGTTTGAAAACTTCAAATAAAGCTGTTGCTTTGATTGTTATACTAAAAATAACAATAATGCCTGGGGGAAAATAAAGTAAATTAAATATTTTAACCATCGGCACTGGGAAGGAAAAACTGGGGGTGGGGGAGCTTTTAATGCTGGAGAAAATGTTGCTTAATCACTGCATTTGGGCCACTCAATAAAAGGAGATTCTAGAAGTCAAACAAGGACCTTATGGAAACCATAAATTATCCAGCCCAGTTTTACAACCTGAGACAAAGATCAACCTTTAGATTTTAACATTAACAAACAACAGACAACCTGTGACCAGCTGAGTCATTATTTCAGAAGATTTGTCTGTGGATAAAGTATTTTCTGACAGACAGGCCACAGTCAGTAAGGATAGGATCTCACCATTCTTCTACTCTGATATTAAGCCCCTTCCTTTATTCTTTGTACACACATGATTGCATCCCATTGTATAACACCAACACAATTAGCAAATTTGCGGGTGACACGACAGTGGTTAAAGAAAGGAAGTACAAAGGCTGACACTGAGGTGTAAAGAAAATAATCTCACACTTAACACCAAAAAAACTAAAGAACTTATAATTGACTTCAGGAGGAAGAGAGACGTACATTTACCATTGTACATAAATGGTGAGGAGGTGGAGAGGGTTGGTAGTTTTAAATTTCTGGACACTTATATCTTGGAGAACCTCTCATGGACTATGAATGCTAACAAGCTTGTGAAGAAGGCACAGAAGAGGCTGTACTTCCTGAAAATGCTCAGGAAGATCTCAGCATCTACTTCTGTCCCACTACCGCAGCACCATTGAGAGTGTCCTGACATACGGCATCCTTGCATGGGATGGGAGCAGAACAAAAAAGCTCTACAGAGAATCATTAAAACTGCCCAGAATATAATCGGGCTCCAGCTACCAGCCCTGGATTACATCTTTGCATCTTGCTGTTTGAGGAAGTCGCACAACATTCTCAGAGACTCTTCCCATCCTGCTCACAATCTTTGTGAACTGTTGCTTTCTGATAGAAGATACAAAACAATTAAACTCGGACCACATGTTTTCTGAACAGTTTTCATCCCACACTATAATTGCACTAAACAATGAACTTAAGAACCATCATCTGTGAGCTGTTGGGCAGTATTATTTGGTGTGTTGTGGGGATGCTTGTGTGTTTTTAGGGGGTGGGGAACTTTGGAGGGTGGGATGTGTTTGGGGATTGTCATGTGTGTGTGCGTGTTGGATCTGGTTTCTGGGTGTTATGTGAATTTCGTTGTATGCTTATACTGTGTACAATGACAATAATTATCATCATCATCAACTCTTCCTAAAGATGCTTCCCTTATGATGTTTCAAATAGACAAAAGGTATGGTTATAAACTACACCTATTAATAGTGTACATATATATTGTCATGCCTACCTCCATTTAAAACTCAAGAAAGAAAACTCCTGACTCCAGTGACGTAGAGAAAAGGTACTGTATTTTCCGTACTATAAGATGCACTCCCTTCCCCCCCAAAAAGTGAGTGGAAATGTCTGTGTGTCTTATAGAGTGAATGTTACTGAAACCTAGCCCACCTGCCGCCCCCCACCCATCGGCCTCTGCCTCCCAGCAATTTGCCTCCTTGTAGGAAGCAGCAAACAGCCTGGTCAGCTTCAGCACAGCCTGATTTAGCACAAGCAGCTGATTGGTGGTTGGATCGGCCTCCCGGAATACCGCCGATCAGCTGATACAGGCTGCAGGGATTGCTGCTGCCCATCACCGTTGCCTACAGCCATCTCCAGGTGCCCCATTTTTTTCCCTCTGCACATCCTGTTTTCGGCCTGTTCCAGGCGGCAGGGATCAGCGCTGGTGGCCGAAAATGGGGTGCGTGGGGGTGGTGATAGGTGGCGGCGATCCCGTAGCCTGGAACAGCTGATCGGTGGTATTCTGGTAGGCCGAGCCTACCACCAATCAGCTGCTTGTGCTAAATCAGGTGTGCTGAAGCTGATCAGGTTGTTTGCTGTTTGCTGCAAGGAGGCAAATTGCTGGGAGGCAGAGGCAGATTTTTTCCCTTGTGTTCCTTCCCAAAAGCTAGGTGCATCTTATGGTCTGGAGCATCTTATAGTGCAAAAAATATGGTAGTTTTACAGAGTTTGAAATAATAGCGGTGAAAGCAAAGCAAGATCTAATTCAAAAGGCATGAAAGTTGCAGGTTCAAAGTTTCCCCAAATCCCTTACTCCAGGGACCCTGGCTGAATGTCCAATCCACATCCCATGTAATGGTCATGTGACACATCTTCAAGTATTTTCGCCCATCTGGAGTTCTAGGACGGTTGGCCTTGACTGGGTATAAACAACTCCACTCAGCAGCGCAGTGATTCTTGAGAGCAAATCCCTCTTTTAGTTCACATGGGCCTTTACCACACCAGCTCACTTCCCAAACCCAAATGCCATGCCCCCCTCCCCATTACTATGGCAGCCGATAGCAAGCATGCATCAAAGGGAAAACCCATGCTGGAGAGCCAGCTGACATTCGGGCCCTCCTGCAGTAGAGATATTAGCCCTAAGAAAAAAAAACGTAAGACAAAATAGACACGATAGAAGCAATCTACAATACAGGAGAGTAAAATAACATTAAGGTTTGTCAGGATATTTCGTGTGAAATAGTTGAAGGAGTTTAAGGGCCCAGATGTCCCAAGTATTCATACTGTGAGGGAGGGAAATGTTTCCAGGCCACCAAATACTGTACTCTTCCCCTATGTTTACTTACTTACTTTACTTTATTGTCATTGCACCTCGTACAATGAAATCAAACACCATCTTCAGTGCACACCATGACCATGAAAATAAACACAAACACAAACACAAATCCTTCACCCTTCCCACATTGAACCGAAAACCCCCAACACCGCACCAATACTGCACTATACAGCGGAATTCAAAAGAGCTACTGCCCTGGGATAGAAGCTGTTTTTCAGCCTATTTTTCCTTGTTTTTATTATTCTATTATTTTCCTTGTTTTTATTATTCTGCCAGAGTTTTTCTAAAAAAAGGGTTCCCAGGATGAGATGGATCTTTGAGAATTTTTTTGAACTTTCTTAAGGCAGCAGGAGCTATAAAGCTCTTCCAAAGAAGGGAGAGGCAACCAATTGGGCAATGACGTTATCTGCTACTGTGAATTTGGCAAACCATACAGAAGTGCAGTGTTAAAATGCTCTTTATGGTGCAGCGGTAGAAGGTCACCAGCAGTTTTTCATTCAGTTGTTTTCTGAGAAATCTCAGGTAGTATAATCTCTGCTAGGCCCTTTTGACCAGTGCTGCAGATCAGGTCCTCTTTTATGGTAACACCCAGAAACTTAAAACTGGCCACTTGCTCCACTTGGTCTCCATTGATAAGGAAGGGCTGGATGATCTGTTCCTTCTATAATCCACTATAAGCTCCTTGGTCTTATTGGTGTTGAGGACCAAGTTATTGTCTCCACACCACAAAAACAACCAGCCCATCTCATCTCGGTAGGCAGACTCATCCCCCCTGAATGTTTCCTGGAATCCAGGATTTCTTTGATTTTGGGTAGTTCTAATATACTGTGACCGGATTGACAATGCTAACTATGGGGAAAGGGCCTACATACTTGGACCCCATTTTTTTAATTTCTGGGTGGTCTGCAAGTACTTCATAGACAGGAAGACCCTGTCCCCTACTTGGAACTTTTTTGGTTTAGCTCGTTTCTTGTCAGACTGTCTTTTATGGGCTTGATGTGCCTTGTCTAGTGGCTTACGGGTGATGGGCCAAATGGGGAACCACATATTCTTTTACTCACTTATTGCTCTCATCCTGTTTCCTATGTATCCTGTAATTCCCTAGTTTATAACTTTTACCCTGTCACCTATTCTTACCTTGGGGAATGTACAAGCGGGGAGGGCCATTGTTTTCTCTCAGTTCAGAAGCCTCACAGAAGAAGCGCATGGGAACGACTCCTTATCTCTTTCTCAGAATGACCATTTCCACAACATCTTCACACCTGTGGATTAGCTCATTCAACATCAGACTGAGGGGAGGGGATTCTAACCACTTTATTTTAATGGAATTGCCTGGGGGGAACTCAGACCCTGCTTTGCATTGTCCTGCATTCACTTCCTTTCAATAAAAGTTTCCTTTTCAAATGCTAAAGTTTCGAGAGTCCATGCTTTCTTGAATGGGAAGGAGAGGCAGGACCTTACACTGCCATTGGACCAGATGTAAAGTTTTTACAAAGCCAAAATGCCCAGCAGATTTTGAATCATGGGCCCGTGGCAGCATAGTCCCCCTGAGACTGGCAGGAATGTATAGTTTAGTGCCAATCCAAGCCAGGTCACCTCACACGGTGCACTTGTTTGAGTACAACAGGAACCAGTCATCACTTTTCAGTGCTCCTTTCAGCTCCTTGCTTAAGTCACTGGGAAGGTCAAGGTCTGTTTTTCCCTGGGCTCTAATTACCACTGAGGCAGCTAGTTGCTTGGAAGGGATAACTGGATGGATTACTTCTGGCCAAGCACAATTGTATGGTGAGCAACTTAGACAAAGCATCTGCCATAAAGCTCTTCCCCCCAGGAAGGTAGCGCCAGGAAAAATTAAAATGGTTAAAATATTGAGCCCAACAAATTTGTTTGGGGTGACAGTTTTTGGAGTGCTTTTAGGGCTTCCAGGTTTTTAAGGTCAGTCCACACCTCAAAAGGGTATTTTGCCCCTTTGAGAAATGCCTCCAATAGGGCCCAGCAAATGCTTCCTTCTCCCATATTGCCCATCTCCTTTCAGTTTCAGTTAATTTCCTAGAGGTGTAAGCACAGGGTTGTAAGACCCCAGTGGTGTTTGCCTGCAATAGCATGGGCCCCCACAGCCATGTTATTGGCATCA